CAGCTTAGGATCTGGCTGGGCTTCTGGCTTGGGCTTGGTTTCTGGCTTCGGCTCCCACTGGGGCTCCGTTTCAGGCTCTGGCTCTGGCTCGGTTTCTGGCTCAGACTCCCACTGGGGCTCCGGCTCCGGCTCTGGCTCTGGCTCAGACTCCCACTGGGGCTCCGGCTCAGGCTCAGGCTCTGGCTCTGGCTCAGGCTTGGTTTCTGGCTGGGACTCCCACTGGGGCTCAGGCTCAGGCTCAGGCTCTGGCTCAGGCTCGGTTTCTGGCTCAGACTCCCACTGGGGCTCCAGGTCAGGTTCCCATTCGGGTTCGGGCTCCTGCTCGGGCTCCAGTAGTGGTTGTTCAGAACTTTCAACAAGATCCCATATTTCACAAACATCAGATGAAGGCTCAGATTCAATACATTCAACTACCTCTTTTTCATGCACAGGCATTTGGCACTCAACACTGGAATCATCTCTTTTCTTCTCAGCATCCCTCAAATGGGGATTGTCATCATCTTCGTCATCGATAACAATTACTGAAGTCTTCTGAACACTGGAGCCCTCAGTGTTAGAAGACTCGTCAGAGGACTCGATAGAAGACTTGTTAGAAGACTTGTCAGAAGACTTGTTAGAAGATTTGTTAGATTTGTTAGAAGACTCGTCAGAAGACTCATCTGAAATTCAAGAGACATCTATGAATACACTCCTTCTACCTACTTTCTACATACAGACATCAGCAGGTTATTGAGCACAAATTAAACTGAAACTGGTTGAGAGATTGGACATTCTGAATCACAGTTAATATCATGGTTGTAGATTGTTTCCCTTCTATTTTGTATTTTACTAAGAGCAATGACAGATAAACTAGCAATGAAAATATTATGCCCACTTTAAAATCACATTGTCTAAATAACATGAGGTACTTGCTCAGTTGTTCCCAAACACAAACCTGCTGCCTTGTGGTCCATAGCAAAACAAGGGCAATTGCATCAATAAAGTTGTATTTAATTTATATCAAGTTAAAGTTCTCTAGCTTAGAAAACTTCTTTATCTAGTCATTATGGCCTGCCTGGACTTTTGATGCTCTCTACCTTATACAATAGAGTAGATAGTAGTTGTCACCTCCCCCAACCCCAATCTCCACCAAGCTGGAAAGAAAGCTGAGCCATGCCTCTTACCCTCGCCTCTTCCTTGCCATGCTTACTTATAAAGAATGGAAAGAGAGGAAGAGGGAGGAGCAGAGTCTAGGCAGACAGAACTCTACCCATGTCTTAGGCAGCAGGAAGAGCTGCAACTGTATTATGAAACAAGGAGTGGGAACCCAGTCATACTGATATCCAGCACATGATAGAAAAAGAAATGGTGGCACTGGCTATGAAGTCATCATAAACTAAAAGTGTGCAAAGTCAGATCCTAAAACTGCCACATGTGACAAGGCTTCAGAGCTCAGCTATTTCTCTAAGTGAAAATGATACTTGCCTTCACTGCTCATTTCACAGATCTTAGCTCTCTTTTCCTTAGAGGGAGAATCAGAATCAGAGTCTGACTTGATCACCACACAGCTAAGTAATAAGGTGGAAAAAAACAAAAAGAAAAATATGAGCACAATATTCTTCCCTTCAGGGCATTTTCCATATTTTCTACAATAAGCAGGATTACTTGTTAAGTTATGGTTGTTTCCTACACCAACTCTGTTCCGCTTCATTGGAACTACAACCTTTCAATTATTCCTAATTTCTCTATACACTTTTCCATTTTCTTACAACCTACCCAAAGGAGGCATCTGTCAGCTACTAAGAGTAAACTGGACCTTATCAGAGTGTAAGTACTTAAATAGTTCTAGGGGCAGGGAAAAACTCATTGGGGAGCTTATCATTCTTCATCAACTTTCAGATGAATTTGTGTAAGAGTTGATAGCCATAGAGGAAAGGTTCTCAACCTGACCTCTTGTAACTTGACCCAAACATATAGCTGTTAAGCTATAACCTTTCCTTTCTTTTTTCTTTATTTTTTTTTTGATTTTTTGAGACAGGGTTTCTGTGCAGCTTTATAAACCAGGTTGGCCTCAAACTCACAAGAGATCACCTGCCTCTGCCTCCTGAGTGCTGGGATTAAAGGTGTGTGTCACTACCACCCAGCTAACCTTTCCTTTCTTATTCATCAAGATCACATATTAATAAACATTACAATATAAACATTACAAAATTTAAAAGTCCCAGTCTTTGAATTTCCAAACACTTAAAAAATTCAGCCTTTTTAAAATATCCAATCTCTTCCTTTAATCCCAGCACTCGGGAGGCAGAGGCAGGCAGATCTCTGTGAATTTGAGTCCAGCCTGGTCTACAGAGCAAGTTCCAGGACAACCTCCAAAGCAATACAGAGAAACCCGGTCTCGGAAAAAAAAAAAGTAAAAACATAAAAGAATTCAGTAATGTCTGGGATCCAGTCATGATCTTCTAGCTCCTCCAAAGGGCCACTTCTTGGCTCCACCCACTATAGCTCACACAGATTGTCTCCTAAGATCAGGATGGCTCCACTCCAAGGCTGCCTGCTGCTGTTCTTGATGGTTGTTCCATGGTACTGGCATCTCCAAAATGCTGAGGTCTCTTGCTGCAACTGGGCTGTACTTTCACCAATAGCCTCTCCTGGGCTCTTTTTGGGGACTTCAGCCCTTCCACACAGTGCCAAGTCTCAGCTGCTCTCCATGACTTCACAACCAGTACCACCTGAGTGACTCTTACACTACCCAGGTTTTACTGCCAGCACAAGGTACAACCTTGGCCACCTTTGGAACACCACTTCTGTGTGCTAATTTTGAGAAAACACTTCACAGAAGATTTCACCTCAATGATGGTACTCTCTTCTTATATTTTTGGTTGTGAGCCTAGCCTTTAACGGCTGAGCCATCTCTCCAGCCTGGGTACTCTCTTCTTAATCACTGATAATTTCTCAGCTCTAACTGTCCAGCATCAATTATCCCAACAAAGAAAAGTTTCACTTTAGTGGTTCTAGTTTTTTGTTAATCACAACCAATTCTACAGCCCCAGATGACCAGAACCACAGATTCTTAAACTATGCAACAGCCCGAATAGAGTCTTTAAGTGATTTCTAATCTTCCCTGTGGAACCTCACAAATCACACCTTTCAACACCAATGCCCTCTCTCCTGGCACCAATTTCTGTCTTATTTAGGATTATTATTACTGTGATGAAAGACACTCAAATGGACAGGAACATGGAGGCAGGAGCTGATGCAGAGGCCATGGAGGGGAGCTGCTTACTGGCTTGTTCCCCGTGGCTTTCTCAGCCTGCTGTCTTATAGAACTCAGGACCACCAGCACAGGGTGGCACCACACACAATGGGTTGGGCCTGAGTGTCTTTCCTGACTTCTTCCAGTGATGAATGGTGATGTGGAAGTTTAAGACAAATAATCCTTTCTCCCCCAAGTTGCTTTGGGTTTCATCACAGTAATAGTAATCCTAAATAAGACAGAAATTGGTGCCCTACAGGCTTTCCTGCTGCCCAATCTTATGGAGGCATTTTCTCAATTGAGGTTCCTTCCTCTCAAATGATTCTAGCCTGTGTCAAGCTGACATAAAACTAGCTAGCACACACTCTTTAGCCCAAGATACACTGGAACTCACAGAAATTCTACCTCAACCTTCCAAGGGCTAGGATTATACTCATGAACCCCCTGTATGATATACTTTTAAAAAATTATTGTGGCGGAAGGGATATAGTGTGTGAGAATGTGCATGTGCCACAGAACACATGTGGAGGACAACTTTGTGAAGTCAATTCTCTCCTTTCACCTTTACATGGATTCTGGTGATCAAACTCAAAGTCACCAAGCTTATGTGGCAAGTACCTTAAGCCAGTGATCCATCTCCTGGACATGAAACACTTTTATGATGAAAGAAAAACACTCCAAATACTTACTATATTTTCCTGTATCCACTATAAATACTAAGACTAATCTATTTCTACCATGCATCATCTCTTTTAAACTGTAAAGCTGATGAGCCTTTGCTATCTATCCTATTTACTGCTCTAGCCTTAAAGAATCTTTCTTTTAGGCTGGGTTTGATGGCACACACCTTCAATTCCAGTACTCGGGAGGCAGATCTTCTTTCCCACAACTTACTGGGCCAGATCACTGAAGGGTATAAATGCTAGGCTAAACAACTTGATTTTTATATGATGAGCTATTTGAATTGGGCATCAATATAATCACAGTATATTCAGCATATTCACCTAGAGGCAGGATGTAGACTGGATCATAGAAGACAAGATCAGCCAAAACATCTACTTTTTGACTGATGGAGACTAAAAAAATCACAGTTCAAAGACATTTTGAAAAACTAACTGAGTATAATGGTGCATACCTATAATGCTGGCACTTAAGAAGCAGAGGCCACAAGTTCAAAGCCAATCTTATCTATATAGTGAGTTTGGATCAGCCAGAGCTTCATAGTGAGACCCTGTCTCAAAAGGCCAAAAACTAGCCAAGTATGGTGGTGCATGTCTTTAATCCCAGCCATCAGGAGGCAGAAGCAGGCAGATCTCTATGAGTTAGAGGCCAGCCTAGTCTATATAGAGTTCCTGGAAAGCCAGGGCTACACAGTGAGATCCTGTCTCAAAAGAAAAAAAGCCAAAACCTATAAGTAAGTAAGTAAGTAAGTAAGTAAGTAAGTAAATAAATAAATAAATGCAACAGCTGAACAGTTAAACAATGGCCCAAGGCAAGAATCACACAGTTTAAAACTGGTTATGAAGTCAAACAACCATAGTGACCCTGTCAATAACGTGTAGTGTTTGTTTGTTCTCGGAGAAAATGTGACATTTACTCTTGAATCTCCTTACCCAGAACATCAGGTGTTTACTTTTTTTTCCCCAAAGGTCAAGTTTCACCAATTCTCCTTACCTGGACCTTTTCTCCAGCAATTCAGACATATCTAAATAAAGGAAAGAAAAAGCATTAGGAAGCATGATAAAACCTAGTATCTCATGTCTTTTACTCCTGAAAACCAGTTTATAAACTAGAGCTAGTAAAATTTACATTTCCCTAAAACTGTGGGCATAGGTCAGTAGTAGAACACTGCCTAGCCACTTTGGGTTCTATGTTCAACAATGGGAAGAAAATCAAAGAAAGGAAGAGAGGGAGGAAGACGGAAGAGAGAAAAGAATTTATAACCCCCAAGAAAGACTGAGAGGAAATGAAAGAAGACTCATCAGGAACCAAAAAGGGGATAAACAACACATAAAGAAAACATGAAGATCTGCTCTTGACAGCAGGGAAATAAACTTCATTTCAGCAAACCAGAGAGAACACTAGAGGGGGCAAACCTAGGACCAGATCAAGCCAAGTGTCCCAAATCTCATTTCAGTCAATTCTACAAAGATGCTTGATTGCATTACTGTTGAAAGAGAGCTCTACTTACAGGCTTCACAGTCTTCATCACTGATGCTGCTTGAATCCATGGTAAGAATAAACTGGGGGGAGGGGGAGAAAGAGGCTTTTAAAGTGAGAGCTACCAACAACACAGGCCATAAAATATCAAAACTCTCCAATAAATGCTGACAACAAGCAACTTCGGAAATGCAAGGTCAGAAGATGCTTTAAGAGCTTACGTGTGTCCAGGCTGGTCTTGATAGCAAAACCTTATCTCAAAACCAAAATAATAATAATGTATTACATTAGACCCTGAGCTGGCTTTAAACCCCATGTAATGGAACAAGACCTTGAAGTATCTATCCTCCTGCCTCCCCTTCTTGAGGACTGGAATTACAGTAGTATGCCTGCCATGCTCAACTTTATGCAATATTAGTAACTGAACCCAGAGTTTCATGCATGCTAGGCAAACACTCTACTGAGTTAGATCCCAGTCCCCATATGTACTTCTCTTTTAAAAGATTTTTTAGTTGTATCTGTCTGCCTATATATGTGACTACAAGTGCCTGTAGCAACCAGAGATATCAGAACCCTCTAGAGCTAGAGTTACAGGTGGTTGTGAGCCACCCAACATGAGTTCTGGTAACCAAATTTGGGATTCCTGAAAAAGCAACAGGCACTTTTAACTGCTATGCCATCACTCAAGTCCCTATATGCACATCTTTAAAAGATTAAACACACAACTGCATTCAAATAAATGTACAATGTGCACAGATTTCAAAAATATGGAGATGTTTCAGAACTGAACAGTGAGATATTAACTCAGTCAGACCTCTCCAACTATGCTAATAACAATCTGCTGAAAGCTGGCTCACCTAGACTTCCACAAAACATGCTCTTGAGCAGTAGTTATAAAAGTACTGTATCTTTCATAGGGCTACTGTAAAAAGTAAGCCAGAAAATAGCTGTCCTCTCTCTTCTCTACCGCTACGGTACCATCAGTTCTTAACCTCTGAGCCACTTCTCCAGCCCCAGTACCATCACTTCTGCTCATTACATTTTTAAACACATTTTTAATCACAATCCACTATAATTACATACATACATGTTTCAATCTGCTACCCTAAATGGCAAGCAACACTAGGACTTGGAAGTATTATGTGTTTAATTTTGGTCAATACAATCACTTATGCATGAATAAGTATCAAGGAGTGGTTCTAAAATCAGGTGGCTCATGTATATAGTCTTAATACTTGGGAAGCTAACGAGGATGATTGCCACAAGTTCCAGGCCAGCCTTAGATAAACTGAGAGTTCCAGGCTATTTTTAGTTATGGAATGAGACTCTAAAAATTTTTTAAAGTGATTTTTTAAAAAAGTGATTAAAATTTTTTAAATTCTTAAAAAAAAAAAAAGACAGTGATTCCCCCACCTTTGTCATGATCTTCTACTCTTCACCACAAAAGTTCAAGGCTTAAAAGGTTGTTTTCATTTTTTTCCGGTTTTTTGAGACAGGGTTTCACTGTGTAGCTTTTGAGCCTGTCCTGGAACTAGCTCTTGTAGACCAGGCTGGTCTTGAACTGCTGGAGTCAGCCTGCCTCTGCCTCCCAAGTGCTGGGATTAAAGGCATGTGCCACCACCACCGCCCAGCTAATGTTTTTAAATTTTTATTTATGTGTATGTCTCTGTGTGTACATATGCCACAGCTCAAAGAGCATGTTGGATTCCCTTGGGCTGGAGTTAAAGTTGTTATGAGCTACCCAATATGGGTTCTGGGAATCTAGCTCTGGAAAAGTTGCAAGTACCCTTAGCAACCCAAAATCCCTGAAAGGATTTTTGCCTCCTAGATTCTACTCATTTTCTACTAGAGTACTCATTTTCTCCAAGTGAATCTTTGTACCTCTCACTTCAGAAACCAAGATCTTCAATTCTTCAAATGCTAGAGGTATGCCTGGTGTAGTGGCAAGCACCCTGAATCTTAGCACTCAGGAGGCTGAGGGAAGAGCTCAGTTTGAGGCCAGTGTGATGGAAGTTAAGTACTAAGTTCCAGGACAGCCAGACTATACAGAGACCATCACAAAAAAGAAAGAAACAAGTTTGGCCTTTATTCCCAGCACTCAGAGGCAGAAGCAAGTAGATTTTTGTGAGTTTGTGGTCAGTCTAGTCTTCATAGTGAGTTTCAGGCCAGCCAGGGATACCCAGTCAAACACTGCCCCAGAAATACAAATATATTTTTTTAAAGTAAGAAATGAAATAAGATAGCTTTTTGAGTTTAAGAAATAGTACTAGTAGTGGAATTGCTGAGAAAGATTGTGAGTACTTAATGTGAGGTACTGTGGCCCTTCATCATTAATCCTGGAAATCAGGAGGAAAGGGCAGTTGGAGATCTGTGTTGAGGCCTAAGAGTTTCAGGACAGTCAGGACCACACAGTGAGATCCTGTACCAAAAATTGGGTAGAAGTATAGATATTTAAAATACTGGAACTGCTGGACAATCCTCTAAAAAGTTCACAGTTTATATTCTATTCAGTTCTATGAAACTGCCTACTTCCTTACACATTTGCCAATACTGGATATTACCAAACTCCTTTTCTAACTGTACCACTCTGAGATATATAGCCATTTAATTTTATTTTGTTCATTTATTAGAAAATTAATCATGGTGGTATAGTTCTGTAATCCCAGCAGAAGGATCACTATACATTTGAGGTCAACCTGTGCTATATAGTGAGACTCACATAAAAAATATTTAGGGCTAGAGAGATGGCTCAGAGGTTAAGAGCACTGGCTGCTCTTCCAGAGGTCCTGAGTTCAATTCCCAGCAAGCATATGGGGGCCAAATACCATCTGTAATGAGATCTGGTGCCCTCTTCTGACCTGCAGGGATACATGCAGACAGAACACTGTATACATAATAAATAAATATTTAAAAAATATTTTAAAAGTTTTTTTGTAAATTAAGGAAAACAGCCTATTACAATATATAATGCAAAATTCACCTATCTTTACTTTTTTTAAAAACAAGGTCTCACACTGTAGCTCAGGCTGGCCTGGAACTCTCTGTATAAGCCAGGCTGGCTTCAAATACTTTAATAAGCTTCCCATCAGCATAGCCTTCCCAGTGCTGGGAATTACATCACACCTATCCATTACTTTTAAATTTTAGGGGTTTTGGTTTTTTGTTTCTTAACAACTGTGTGAAACTTATTTTGACATTAAGGAGTAAATCAAGTAAGAATTCCAAGTTTTTTTTTTGGGTTTTTTTTTTTTTTTGGTTTTTCCAGACAGTGTTTCTCTGTGGCTTTGGAGGCTGTCCTGGAACAAGCTCTTGTAGACCAGGCTGATCTTGACCTCACAGAGATCTGCCTGCCTCTGCCTCCCGAGTGCTGGGATTAAAGGTGTGTGCCACCACTGCCCGGCTGAATTCCAACTTTCTTTTCACAATTTCATACACAGAAATGTAATGCACTTAGACAATATTCCCTGCCATTATCCTCTGATGTCCTTCCTCACACAGAATCCTTCTTCCCCTCCTACTTCCATGCCTTTGCGAGGGCATTGTATTTAGTTAGGGTTGCTTGCAAGAGTATGTGTGTAAACTCCAACTGAGCAGAAATTCTGGAATAAACCTTCTCCCCAATCCCAACGTTTTTGGGTTGCTTTGTTTTTCTAATGCTAGCAATTAAACCTGGGGCTTTGAATATGTTCTAATATGTTTCTTTCCAAATGGTTCCATTATTCTCAAATTGTCTGCTGACCCATCTTCCTGCCGCCATTCCTTCCAAATATCCTTTTTAACTTGAACTAAACTTTCTTTGGATTTACCTCCCTCCATATTTCACACCCACAGACTTGTCTGTGAGGGATGGACATAGTGCAGTATTTTCAAGTGAGAGGGAATGCTGAAGAGACACAGTTTTTTTTTTTTTGTTTTGTTTTTTGTTTGTTTGTTTCTGAGACAGGGTTTCTCTGTGGCTTTGGAGGCTGCCCTGCAACTAGCTCTTGTAGACCAGGCTGGTCTCAAACTCACAGAGATCCACCTGCCTCTGCCTCCCGAGAGTCACAGCTATTTTAAATACTATTTAAATAATATTAAATAATATTTAAATCATGATGAAAATCATTTTGCCTGGGTCTCTCTGGGGCCAGCAGTATCAATAATGGAGTGGAAATCATATAACAGGCATGAATTTCATCAGAGTGACTTCCTATAAATTATGTATGCTCAATGTATTATACGCATCAGGGAATTATGAGCTTCTGGCCACTAACAGAGATATGTAGGAGTCTGGAATTCTAGACCCTAAGATTATTTCTTTACAATTTACATCGAAGACTAACCAAGTTCAAGCAGGTGAAATGGCCCAGCAGTGGTGCTTGCTTACCACCAAACTTAACCTGAATTAGAACCCAGGGATCTACATAGAGGATTCCTATTGCCTATCCTCTGTTCTCCATACATCCACTATTACACATGCATGTCTACACAAAAATAAATAAATGTAATGTTCTGAAAAGATTAACTGAGGCCAGGTAATGGTGGCCCGCATCTTAAACTCAGTCCTCAGGAGGCAGAGGCAGTGAGTTCAAGACCAGCCTGGTCTGCAGAGTGAGTTCCAGGACAGCCAGG